CCCGATCTCCCCAATGTAAATTCCAGTGACCCCTGCATTTAAGCACGAATTATGTCAGCTACTGTCTCTAATACCTACACCCACCTCTCCAGGTTATCGGCAAATGATGCCGTACAGCAACCATGCGGTTTTCACAGCTACTGCAGATGCTACTACTACTGAGCCTTTATGAGGTACTCTACTTGTTTTTCACTATCCATCACCCGTGAACATATTTCCAATATATTCGACCTAGCCTTCCTTCAGGAAGCGTCTTGTGAAACAAAGCAATTTGTCTTCAAGTCAATCAGTGTTTCTCTTGCCTAACCTCTTCCATATATGTCCTGTTTTCTATCGATTGAGCTCTTTTGTTTGTCTTTCGGGTCACTGCGGTGTTGTGGCCACAAACCGTAGCTCAGTAGTTATTTCTAACAAATATGGTTTCTGTCTCTCCGTCCATAGTTGTGCTAACTAATATGTGTGCACTTTGACCTCTATGTTGTTCCACTTTTGTGTAAATGTCTGTTTGTTATAACAGTACACTAACGACACCCCCAATAAACTAAAGACAAAGGTACAGTGTGAAAGTTTACCGTTTGTTTTTCTGGCTGCCGTCTAGGTTCATGCTTCCTTTCAGTGACCTTTTTCTGGAAAAATCCGTTAAAAATTGCTGGAAGTATGGCGCTGATCAGGATCTACCAAGAACAGCTCGCCACGCATCTCTGCTTACGATAGACGGTGTAACTTATCTCTAGTAGTAATGTGGACTTCCTTCAGTAGGCCGACAGACACAAGTCCACTAAAAAATGGCATCCCTTAAGACATATCTGTGCTAAAAGGACACTGGTCCCTTCCATTGAACCCAGCGTACGATGAACAGCTGAAAATAGCTGTTGCGTGGTCTGAGAACTGTTTATACATTCAACAAACGGAGGAAATGAACTTTGCTTTCTCACCTGAAGATAACCATATTCCATAAAGGGAACCACTCACAAGGTTGCTGAAAATCTTGGGGCTGGTAGGAGCATTCCTCCAGTTTCCCATCAACCTTATGATCTGCTTGAATCCAAATTGCACTGTTTTCGAGAAATATGCCCTGCCCAGAATCAATTTGGTTCTCACGAGAGACTCAATCTAATCTCCCGTTTATGGTATTATACAACTGAATGTGCTGCACACAGGCCGCCTCATGATTCAGTTGGCACGATATTCGAGATATCGGAGTATATTTTCATAAACGAGGGGTTCAAGTAGATCGTAAGGTTGACGGAAACTCGGGGACTGCGCCTACCTGATGAGCTCGGTCGTGGGCTGTCGAAGAGTTTTCAGTAGTGAGTAGTTTACTTTATGAAAATATACTGCGATATCCCGAATAGCGTTCCAACTGAATCATGAGGCAGCACATTCAGTTGGAGGACATCATAAACGAGAGATTCAATTGAGTGATAACCAACTTGATTTGCAAATGAATGTATTTCTCGATAACCATATTCCCCTTTTCACATTTGCACTTTCTACAATGGAATACTGGATGTTAGCAATACTTTAGTCGGAAGGATGGCACCCTAATTCGCAATTTATCCCATCATTCCTGACGTCTCAGTGGAAGAACAGTTGAGCTGGTTGGAACCAAACGTCCAGCCTACGTATCCCGACGTTCCAATGTCAAATCACGCCATTCCCAGCTGCACTCCTTTGAAATCCAAAGTTGAATCGGAACTGAGTCTGATTAAGTGAACCATGCGCTCTTCATGGACGAGGATCAACTACTCTTCTATGCCTTAACAAACCTTATACGATCTGCATGAAGAGCCGAAAACGTGCTAATCGACTATCATTGCTGGTTTCGAGAAAGTCTTGTGAGCCTCCTGTGATAATCACAGACGAAGTGGCCTAGTTCCGATCTCATCTAAGTTTTTAGGCATCGATGGACATTGACAAGAGGAAGTTGTATTAGTTTCGCTTGTACTGTCTGACAGATAAAGTCAGTGTATGAAACTGTAAAGCTCGCGTCGTGTTGGCCAACTTGAGACACATGTATCGTCACGGTGTAACGGTGGATACTACTGATGAAGCATGCTAGTAGTGTCTTCTCATAACTCCGCTTCGCGTCTCTTGAAAAGTGAGATCTATTACGGAATTTGTGGAGTCGCTTTGTAGCATATGATTGCATTTGAGTAACAGTCAGTGAATATCCAGGAAAGTTCAGGAAGACGCGTTCAAGGAGAAGATGGATATTCAGTTTTGTGAACAAGATGCACATGAGAATTTTGCTTCCCTGTCCAATGGTCTGTAACTGTTCAGTTGGTGTCTCCCTAACAAGTAACAAGTAACGAAGGCCTTCTTCCTTTCAACGGTAGCATATCTCTGAAGCTCAAGGGATTTGTGTATCAACCTACACTACGGGCTGTTTTCGTTGTATGGCTGAGAGATGTGGCGTCTTAGTACAGCGGAACTCTAGGTCTTTGACCTTCATTGTCCCACGACCCTAGCTCGTGTGGGTTAGTGTCGGTGAATCCGTAACGAGACGATTAGACAACGCAAGTGTTCGGTTGTGCAACGGGCGCCCCCACCGTAGAATGTGTCCAACACTGGAAGCTGCTCTCGTTAGATCATGTACTACGCATAGCAGATCCTCGTTTACCGAAAAGAATGCTGTTTTCTGCTCCCAATTAGGAGCAGCGCAAGTAGAAAGAGGTAGTCAACCCTTGACCTGATTGAAGAGTATGAATGATATTGCGAAAAATCTAGGTGCCTTCCTGAATGTGGTCTGCCTAATCCTCATTGTGCCTGGTTGGAGACGCTGCAGGAAATGCCTGATATTCGATGTTAATGGCGTTCGTGTTGTCAGTTTCCATCTAGATTACCTAAATGAGTGACTGGGTTTGTAGGCACGTCGGAATGGTTGTGGTAGGCTTGCGCTAAGTCCCAAATCCACTTTATTTCTTTGATTGTACGACATCAAAGCATCAGTATTGAGCACCGATGTTATGCTATCGATAAGCGTAATGGACAAGGGGAACGAACACAAGAGGGGAACAGGCGGTCCAGAAACCACAATGTGGAACTATTTGTTTTACTGAGGGTGCCCAATATGTGAATCACCATTTGGCGCTCTCGTAATGCTCGTTCGTTGAGCTGAGTGAGGGTGTGTGGTTTTCGCATCACCAATGGTCCCCAATCTCTCGTTTGTTTTTCAAATTCAAGTTTTCGATATGATTGGAGGAGCACCCAGAGGCTGGTAGTCAACGGTCGTGGAGTTTCCTCCAAGTTGCATGCCAACCAGTATCGAGAAACATGGGGATATCGTCCTCAACTATCGACCCTCTCAAATGGCAATTATGCTGAAATTTTAAAAAGACTAGACTAGCTCTTTAGATGGTACAAACTCGTGTGGCAAGATTGCGTGTGAATACTCCGACCGTGTGCTCAAAACGATCGACAAGCTAACCTAATTAAGACGTGTTGACCCTGTTTCTATACTGCGAACGGAATAGGCTAACTAATGGGCAAACGTGCTCGAAGTTTGCCGTACTTTGTCCATTGTGGTGTCGAAAAGATCACTTTATCGATGAGTCCTGTCAGATCTCTTCGACCGTCTCAACGAGGATACATGTAAACTCTCACATCCGCTTCCACTGGTTAATTACTACCTAATTAGCCGATCGGATTAGAATATATATTGGATAATGCCGAAGAAAAGGCCTACGACCGATCTACTGATCTACTGTATTGGTTGGGCCGTTCTCTTCAAGCTTCTTAGGCGTTACTGTCCCATGAAACACTTGGAAAGTCCTGGGCAAGCTAGAAACGATGGAGTGTAGTCATTTATTGACACGGACGTGAGCTACGGTAGCCCTAATCACTCAGTGGTGTGGCGAATCTCTTCTAGTGGGTTGACAACCACTGTCAGATCGACCGTCTCAACGAGGATACATGTAAACTCTCACATCCGCTTCCACTGGTTAATTACTACCTAATTAGCCGATCGGATTAGAATATATATTGGATAATGCCGAAGAAAAGGCCTACGACCGATCTACTGATCTACTGTATTGGTTGGGCCGTTCTCTTCAAGCTTCTTAGGCGTTACTGTCCCATGAAACACTTGGAAAGTCCTGGGCAAGCTAGAAACGATGGAGTGTAGTCATTTATTGACACGGACGTGAGCTACGGTAGCCCTAATCACTCAGTGGTGTGGCGAATCTCTTCTAGTGGGTTGACAACCAAGCGACAACCCTCATCGATGGTTCGAGACGCTTGTTCATATTGTACTCTGCTGCAGTCAGTGGTCAGAAGCTGCCTAAGGGAATCCAGCTATCCACTTTTACTCGTCTAGTGGCCTCTTTCAATGTGCTTTTGTCCCCCTTCCATTGCATATCTAGCATGAGTTAGTTGTTCACATATATGGATCGACTTTGGAAATAACGAAGATGACAATGACTTCCCTCAAAGGCTCGACCACTCATCCGGAGGGTCCGCATGATCGTTTCTCTATCTAACGCCAGGCCTCCCCTTCTCTGAAGGAAAGCCTGTGAGAAACCGCATCCTTCCGTCCCCAGTTATGGTCTTTACGGACGAAGAAGTCGGTCGCGTGACTGGGGGACACTTGCTATTATCGCTTTTTTAGTCTGGGCAAGTTAAAATACTGACCTACAAGGACAGCAGTAAATGATGCTAAAAATCCACTTATTCATGTACACTACTTATCGCATTCTCAGCGACTACACCCACGGCGGAAGAGAAATGTACTTAGAAGAATTCTCCACGAGTAAGATAAAATCTATGTTACTTCGGATGGATGCCTAAGAAGGTTGCAGCATTCCCTGGGTGTGTGCAGCAATTTCTACAAGCCTTCGGAACTTGATTACTGTACTGTTTCGACTCGATGTTTTCAGTTTTCTTCTTGGCGAATTTAGTTAATGGTTTTCAATGTTGTGTTTATCGTTTACATTATGAACTTTCCGCTTATTTTTGATTGTTTATTCGATCGGGGTTGTGTTTTGTACTTTTCCTCACAGGTGCACCATACCCAACTGGACCTGCAGGTGTGTTTCATGTGAATTAACAGTTGTTAGACACTCATTTGGGTACCCATTTTGGTTTTCAGGGGAGACACACGAATTCCAGCTGATTCCCTCGTTTATAATGTCCCTATTCATTGTTACTCCCATCTAGAAGTCGGCAGTGCGGTTACTGAAATACCTGACTGAAATACCTGCTGACAAATACTGTGCCTCTATGTTATTTGTGTAGCCCTGAGGCAACTGAAATACCTGCTGACAAATACTGTGCCCTATCAAAACCATTTCCCCAATTCTTGCTACTCGTGTATGGAGATGTCAGCAGATACTTTTGATGGTGTTTCACCCATCAGTAATTAGTAAATTGAATAGTAGCCGTTTCGCCGGCTCCTGAGGTTAACATGTACTCCGGGTCGAACCATGAAACAACAGTCTTTCTATCGTCATAATCACAAACACCTGATCAGTTTAGGCTGTGTTTCTGGAGCTTTGACCGTTACCAGCTGAGTCGTATTAGAGTATGAGACTCCTCTATATAAGAACTATGTCCTCATATGGGATGCCTTGCAATTCCTCAAATTTTTTCGGTTGATATAGATGGGAAACCTCCGTACAAAGAGTGTCAATTCATGCGCCCCCCCCCCGTACTACAGAGCAGATAAATTATCAGTAAGAGTGGCGTACAATCTACTAGCCATTTTATACATACTACTCATTTCCCCAGGTTTTTATCAATCCCAGTGACGTGCATATTGTGCACGAATTTCCTAGTCAAACATTAGCCATCCCTGTCCACAGTCATTATTCCACTTTGCATGAATCAGACGGTGTGTGTAGTGCGAGTTTCACTGTTTCTGAAGATGACCGTTATCGGGAGGCAGCTTATGACGATCTGGTCACGGATGCTGCCTCCAGACGTGACAAAGCGACAGTTCCTATTCCCTACCCCCGCCTACGGCAACGCACGTACTCAAACATAGCATCATTCTCAAACGTCTTGTTGGGAATATGGTATTGTAGATTCCACAATTACACTCAGCGCTGCATGAGTTGAATGAGACGTGATAGGGAGTTCGGTAGTTTGTTAGGGAATGGTTGAGTGATGTAATGTAGAGGCACATAGCAAGGGAGTCGTGCGGATGAACCGCGAATGCCTTAGGTGTGAGTCGAAGTTGTACGGTGGCAAACCAAGAGACGACTTGGCGATGGACCATTGACGCAGCTACGCTCGAGCGACTTGGAATGTCGACCGTACCCGGTAAACAGTTTGTGCCATGGCTATCCATGCGTAAGTCGAAGTTGTCGGTGGCAAACCAAGAGACGACTTGGCGATGGACCATTGACGCAGCTACGCTCGAGCGACTTGGAATGTCGACCGTACCCGGTAAACAGTTTGTGCCATGGCTATCCATGCGTAAGTTCGAGGGCGGTCAGGACTCATTGTCGCGTGTTTCTGTCCGCCAATCTAGAGGTCCAGTTGCCTTCGCATGGCACTGTAATCAATCTTGTTTGTAGGGGCTTTCTAAGGAGGGAGGGACCGATTCGGGCCTCCAATTGACTTGACCGATGGTCTTGTACAGTCACACTTTGGTGGATGTCACACAATTGCAAGACAGAGTGAAGGTACTGAGGGTAGAAAGTAGGTTCAGGTGGCGTGCGAAATCTCACTGTTTATTGATTTCCAGACTACTTGTTTTGTTGTAATCGGACTATGCCTTTTTCACAAAGGAAACTACTCACAAGGTCATCATCATCTCATCATCATCATCATCATCATCATCATCATCATCATCATCATCATCATCATCATCATCATCATCATCATCATCATCATCCACATCACCATCATCATCATCTTCATCAACATCATAATCATTATCA